GTCCAGATGGTCTCATGGAACCAGGAGTCCAGCTGGTCTCACTGAGTCTTGAGTCCAGCTGGTCTCACGGAACCAGGAGTCCAGCTGGTCTCACTGAGTCTTGAGTCCAGCTGGTCTCACGGAACCAGGAGTCCAGCTGGTCTCACTGAGCCTTGAGTCCAGCTGGTCTCATGGAACCAGGAGTCCAGCTGGTCTCACTGAGCCTTGAGTCCAGCTGGTCTCACGGAACCAGGAGTCCAGCTGGTCTCACGGAACCAGGAGTCCAGCTGGTCTCACGGAACCAGGAGTCCAGCTGGTCTCACAGAACCAGGAGTCCAGCTGGTCTCACAGAACCAGGAGTCCAGCTGGTCTCACGGAACCGGGAGTCCAGCTGGTCTCACGGAACCGGGAGTCCAGCTGGTCTCACGGAACCGGGAGTCCAGCTGGTCTCACGGAAACAGGAGTCCAGCTGGTCTCACAGAACCAGGAGTCCAGCTGGTCTCACGGAACCAGGAGTCCAGCTGGTCTCAGGAACCAGGAGTCCAGCTGGTCTCACGGAACCACAAACAGAAAATAAGTGTTTATTTAAATCTGTTTTATTAGTTCATGGATTTATTTTCTAACATCTGAACTTTTCTGGGTCAAAACTCTTGTTTTTGGACAGAACCTGAAGGAGCTGCAGACGTTTGGACAGAAAGTCCATTTTATATTTTAGGTTTATGTTGAGGAGGTGAGTTCAGATGTTCAGAATCAAAGATGGATGAAAGGAAAGTCAATAAACCCATCTTTACCCTTGAAGGTCTTAAAACAAGCAGAAGCTTCATTTCAGGGCCGTTCGATGTGGAACCAGGTCCTAAATCACAATATTTTCTGTCTAATACTCCTTTCTATTTTTATTTTAATATTTAAACTGTGCGTTAAAACACATCAGAGTTGTTCTGTCAGCTATAGAAGGTCAGTAGTTTGAAGTCGACAGATGCTGTAAACYTCAGCAGCTCACACTGACACACATTTCTGTTTGAAGAGTAAAAACAGCATCTTTACGGGTCATTTCATGGCTCCATTCAGTCAGACTCAGGTCGGACATGATGGCAGCTCGTCAGCGAAGGTTTCAGAAATGTTTGCATCTAAAGAACTCGCTCGCAGTCCCTGCAGGAAAACAAAAAGGTGAGTTCTCAATTCAACTTTCTGACACGTTAAAGCGAACACACTCGCAGCGGGTCCGAGTCTCCAGATCTGTCAGACCTGTCAGCACATCCAGAAACAAAGTAAATGTTCCACGGAGACCGAATTAGACCGTCTGCGTCTCTGCGAGCGACCTCTCCTCTGCGCGCCTCAGACGTACGCCCAGCGGCGAGGTTTTCTGTCACCGTGTCGTCTCTTTGAACAGCCTGACGCTCCAAAACAGGGAAAAGTGACTCGAGACAAAAAAACACAAAGCAAACTGAGTAAAAGCAAAACGCTTGATGTGACGGTGAACATCGGAGCGACACCGCCGGCGCCGTTCGACCCCAAACACCCAAAGTGTTGAGGAGAAYGTAAACATCCATGATGTGAGGCAGAGCTGCTGAGGTATGGTGCTGTGTGAGGGTCAAAATTAAGATTATTATCCAACCAGCGGTTGCTAGGTGGTTGTTAACAGGAGGCTAAATCTATTTTTAAACAGGCTATTGATCTGATTAATGATAGGCCGCACTGCTAACTGAGTAGCGGCACTGCTAACTGAGTAGCGGCACTGCTAACTGAGAGGCCGGAGCTGGAAAATGAGAAGAAGACTATTCATTTGTGTTAGCATCAGAGAGGCTAGCAACTAGCATGGATAAATGGGCATTAGCATCAAAGAGGCTATAGACGAGCATGGATAGGCTGGCGTTAGCGTCAGAGAGGCTAGCAACTAGCATAAATAGACAGGTGTTAGCATCGGAGAGGCTAGCGACTAGCATGGATAAGCTGGATTTAGCATCGGAGAGGCTAGCGACTAGCATGGATAAGCTGGTGTTAGCATTAGAAAGGCTAGCGACTAGCATGGATAGTCTGGAGTTAGCATTGGAGAGGCTAGTGACTAGCATGGATAAGCTGGTGTTAGCATTGGAGAGGCTAGRGACTAGCATGGWTAAGCTGYRGTTAGCATTGGAGAGGCTAGTGACTAGCATGGATAAGCTGGTGTTAGCATTAGAAAGGCTAGCAACTAGCATGGATAGGCTGATGTTGGCATTGGAGAGACTAGCGACTAGCATGTATAAGCTGGTGTTAGCATCGGAGAGGCTAGCGACTAGCATGGATAAACTGGTGTTAGCATTGGTGAGTCTAGCGACTAACATGGATATGCTTGTGTTAGCAATAGAAAGGCTAGCGACTAGCATGGATAGGCTGGTGTTAGCATTGGAGAGGCTAGCGACTAGCATGGATAGGCTGGTGTTAGCATTGGAGAGGCTAGTGACTAGCATGGATAGGCTGGTGTTAGTATTGGAGAGGCTAGTGACTAGCATGGATAGGCTGGTGTTAGCATTGGAGAGGCTAGCGACTAGCATGGATAAGC